ATCATCCCAGTACAACGAGTTCTATAACTAGCAAATGGTACCTGTCAACAAAGGTTCCTAACAGCAATTGTCAAAGCTTCATAAGAAAAAACTACAAACGGCCGAATCATCCCAAACACTGAAAAAAATAGCGCGCTATAGCGTGTAGAGGGGGCCTAATAGCGTGCTATAACACCCTAATAGGGTATTTTCAGGGGCGACACTATTTTTTCCCTTGATCCCAGTACATCCAATTTTAACTAGCACATGGTATCTGTCAACAAACAAAACCAGTATCCTGACCAGCAGCTAAGAAAACACGGCAAATCAGACAGAATCAGGCAGCACCAGCATGATAGGCCACAAGCAACGTGATCACAGACAAAAGCGCCACGCAATGCAAATTACAGGTTTCGAAGCATTCAGCAGCTGGCTTCTTCTTCACCAAAATATAAACAGGGCACTGCAACATCACCCTAAACCATCAACCCAACATTATCCCCATACTGCCAGCACCAAAGGTTACCGACATAAAACCCCAGCATAAGAGAAGTGCCTGTCTCTACATGGCGCGCCCATTTGATCTTGAGAGAATTCCTTATTTGACCATAGCTTAAATTTTGGTTCCCTATTTGGCCCAAAATAAAATTTCTTCTCTATTTGACATCTAAAGTATTTTTTGTTCCTTATATGACACTTCTGTCCATTTTAGACACTAACGGTGTTAAGTGTAAGGCAAAAAGACCGTTTTGCCCCTATGTATTGTGTAATTATCTTGGATGTAGTAAAAAGACAATTAGTTCATCCATGTTTTAGGGATATATGCTCCAATATTTTGGTTAGTTCATCATTTGCAAGTGCGGCTGCAGAGTGTATATGTTCCACGGCGTTAATCTAAGCTTGGATAACGGACGGTATGTTGCAAACTAAGCGATTAGTTCCTACAAATCATACTTCACAACTGACCAGTACAGAGGGCCAATTTCTGAGTGGGGCACAATCACAGACCCCGTGCACAGCATACAAAATGGAAGAACCTACAGCACACAACCCATTTCTGCATCTTTAGCCAACCAGAACTTAATCCTAGATACCTGCAGAGCAACAAATTTCATCAGTCAAACCAAATTGCACAATTTATTCCTGGAAAAGCCGTTAAATTTATGCATCAGGATGGCTCAAACAGTAAACATCAACTTCACTACTACTGTGGAAATTGTGCTAGAATTTCAAAAACTGGATTGTCTCGGCACTGTTGGAAAAAACCAACATTAGAAACAGAGAACAGCTACAGGAGAGCAATTAATTTTATATTTTTACTACTACATCTTCAACTCTTAAGATGATTATCTAGTACTCTGGCCTAACTAGACGCTAAAATATTAGTAGTTGAGACTTATTCGCCCGAGGCGGTGGGGGTTGGATGCGGTGGACCAGCTGGTTTGGTATGTGCGTGGAAGACGATGCCAGGCGAAAGTCTGCCTCCGACTATGATCGGAGCCGGCAGCAGCGGCGTCCGCGGGCGTCGCATCCTTCTTGAAGGTGCTGCTGTGGTGAAGTGCTCCTCTCCCTCACCGTCCCCTGCTCCGAGGGAAACCTCAGATCCGTGCTCTACCGGATCGGATGATGGCGGTGCATTGCGTCGTTCCCTTCTTGAGGGCATCATTTTTGGAATAGGGATCAGCCGGAGAGACCAGTGGTGGTGGTGGTGAAGCGACTGACTTGGAGTCGATGGTGGTTGTTCGGTGCTGTTCTTTGGGGTTTGGTGGCGGTGCCTTCGGCACCCCAAGGCGGCCATTTGTTTCCCCCTCGTGTTAGGTGTCTCGCGATGCTTGCTCAAGACCCTCCCATGGTGGCCGATGTGTTGCAGCGAGCGTTGTGCTCTCGATGATGTCTTGGTTCATCTTTGCTCTTTGATGGCGCAAAGTGCCTCCCCAATTTGCTAATCGTTCCGATCTTCCGCTGCGGGGCTCCCAGTCAAGGTTCGTGTTTTACACTTGTTGATTGTGGATGCTCCTGAGTTGTGCCGTGGGGCTCGGTATGCACGCAATGCGGTGCGTTAGGTTGCTCGCAAAGTCTAGGTATTGTGATCCCTTACAACACCCCACATCTACTTGCGTCTCTCGTGGTGTTGTTCTTTCTGCATGCTAGCTAGGTCGTTCCATCTCCTGGGCGTCAATTTTTCTTCTTCTTCTGTAACCTTGTTACTTGTACGGTTTTCGGCCCGGTTTCCCTCATAAACGGGGTCAGCTTGTTTAGGTTTTCGACCCAGTTTCCCTTATAAACTGGATCAGCCAAAGCTAAGGGGCGACTCTTGGCTTTGGCAGCTTTTTGAGCAATA